TCGGTAAAATAGAGCAAACGCGTCACGCCATCACGTTCGCGCGTATATATATATATATCACTTATAATTATTCGAATTATAATAAACGGAAAAATCTTCTCTTCGCGACCGCCCTTCTCTTCGACAAGAACGAACCAAATTCTTCTCGCTTCGACAAGCAGATTTCCAGTAATCGATATTCGCAGTCTATTCTCATCCGCTTTGGTTATATTTACATTCACGTAACCGTTGCTTATTAGCACCTGTTCGATGCAAATACTTACGGTTATATATTAGATTCGATACGGTTTTACGTACGTAATAATATAATTTGCGTTACGTTCGGTAAGAGCACATAGGGGCAAGGGATAAAGATGGAATTGTATGTAACGATGGAAGGAGGGAGGGGAAAGGGGACGAATTACGAACGAAAGAGGCGAAAAGATGCGCAGAGACGATAAACGCAGCGCGTTGCAAAGCAGGAGAGATTTCTGCAACGTTGTGTGTACCGTCTCTGTTCGTGGCTCGCCAACCGCGAATGTAGTAATCTCGAGAGACCTCGACCGATCGAATGTAGAACGGTGGTGGTGGCACGATGAAAAGAATCGCCTCGAGTATAACGATATACCGTTGACAATACTATCCGCGTTTTCGTTTCGCTGTTTCGTTTCGCAGGACGCTCGATGATTCGTTGAAGATTTCGACTCATGCTTTCACCGCTCGACGATCCAACGGCGGCCGTTTATTTCGCGGACGAGGCAGACGCGCAAAAAACGCGCGAAAGACGCATGCGCGGATAGACGAACACGCGGATAAGAAACAACAACAATAACAAAACTGCCCGATGAAACGGATGAATGGAAACGAGGTTTCGATTATTACATAGCCGTAGCCGATTAATCGGTGGATTTTTATTAAAAACAATTTGCCAAGAAAAAATCTTATTGGTGGTAGATTTTACATAATATATTGAAAAAACGTATTTCGATGTGTTTTTTTTAAAGTTACAATAAACGCTGACTTAAGAGGACAGATTGAGTAGTAAGATAGTCGTTGAAAAGGTGAGGTGGAAGATTCGAACGTGTTAAGGAGAGAAATCTATTTTTAAACGCAATACTAATTCGTGTGATACAGGCACTTTTTCATAAGGAACGAAATTTATACTATATATATATTTTCTTTTTAAAAGGCAATTCAACTTTTACGGGTGTTCACCCTCACCCTCTTCTTCTTCGTCGAACTCGCCTTCTTCCTCGGCGGTAGCCTCTTGATATTGCTGGTACTCGGAGACCAAGTCGTTCATATTGCTCTCAGCCTCGGTGAATTCCATTTCATCCATTCCCTCTCCCGTGTACCAATGCAGGAAAGCTTTCCGCCTGAACATCGCCGTGAATTGTTCCGATACTCTCTTGAACAATTCCTACGGGAATTTCAAACGGGATACAAAATTTTTTTTTTTTTTTTCTATTCTCGATCGATCGAAATATTTCTCGCCCGAGTTTTACCTGAATCGCCGTTGAATTCCCAATGAAAGTTGCCGACAT